TTTAAAAAGGTTTTGAGGATAAGCACCAGTTTTTTACTGATAAGTAGGTTTTAAAACTATTGAAACTACTGAAGCAAGAAACAAAATGAGGAGAACAGAAAAGTTTAATAGATTTACAATCAGAAACAGAGAACGACATTTTCAATAAACATTTTGCTTTTGCTACAGAATTTTAAAATACTGGAGCTACGAAATGTCTGTAAAATTTTTAACAGAAATTATTCGGCTAGGGAGAGTAGCGGTCAACGAAAGAAGATGGCAATAAAAAAAAAAAAGGTGGCAACAGCGACGAAGCTGCCAAACTTAGCTGAGCAAAAAAGTGCAATTTTTTTGTGCCTATCTTTAACTGGTTAGTTAATTAAGTTTTTTTAGTTTTTCTACTCTCAGTCTTGGTCTCTGACTTAGTTATGTTGCAATGCATTTGTTTGTAATCAAGGCTTCTATGTCACTCTAACGCCGGTAAAGTCAGATCGTATAAAGGTTTTATATGCAAAAAAATTAAGGATGCTGTAACTTTTTGCATCTCTAGTTTTAAGCAGTTGTGTCTTGCTGCATCTGTAAATGTTAAAATTTGGAGTTGACTGTTTTATACCACATTCAGATATGTAAAGTATATAAGCCTGTCAGTGTAAAAGCACTCTATTTTCTTTTGCTTTTTTTTCACCTATTTTTCTTTCTTTTTTTTTCTCTACAAAATCCTCAACTTTTTTTCTTGTTACTGTGAAAATACGTAATATTACTTATCTATATTTTCCTGTTCTTCTCTCGCCTCTTTGTAGGTTCTAAACTTAGAACTACGCAAAGCTTCTATTTTTTTATAATAGCGTTTTGAGCACTTTTTTTAACTTTGTTTTGGAAACTTTTTGCTTTTTTTAAAACCTGTATGCCCTTAAAATGCTATGCTTTGAAGCTGCAGTATATAATTTTTCAACTCGTAACTTTCGTTCTCAGCTGAAAAGTGAGAAAGGTTTGGAGTGATTAGTTTAAAATCTCAGTTTATACACGTTTTCTTTGAAGATTTTATTTATTATTTCTAAAAAAGTGCACACGAAAAGTGAGAAACTAGCTTTGCTAATTAGAATCAACAAAATTTTTTTTCTGATTAGATCTGGCTACACTAAGGCACACAAAGTTACGTGAACATGTTATATTTTGAATCTATCTCTTAAGTTAGCGTCAAATTAGCTGTACTCTTTAAATTTTTTAGCGTTTCAAAATTTGAAGAAGAACCAAGTTCTGAAACTAAACAATTTTAACGGACTAATGTAGCTTGGTTCTAGGCGGTTTTATTCAAAGTCTTCTACCAAAAAATCTTAGCTTCCGGTATACGTTTTGAACTCAATGACTTCTAGTCTCAGCCACGACACTGACAATTAGTCGCTATAAATGCTGTAACAGTACTTCTTTTGAAAAAAGAATAAAAGAAGCTTCTTTTGTTACCTTCAATAATAAGTTCTAATTTGGCAACAAAACAAAACAGAGTAACATCAACATTGCTGTTAAAGCAAATTTTGAAGATGACTGAAGGAAAAAAAAAAGATGGAGAGAACGAACCAATTAATCTATATTTTAGTTTACAAGTTCTTTCAAGTCAACGAGCCTGTGAACGAGCGATTTTTAAAATTTCCGACCAAAAAATACTTAAAAGAATACGCAAACTAGAGCTAAGTACTTGACTGACGTTTTTTACCTCAAGTTGCTTTCAGCGTTGATTGTTTTATGTAATATAATCTTGGTGGAGCGCTAACCATTTGTTTTTTTTATTAAAGTGTTTTAGCAAGGAAGAGCTGCCGAATAAGATGCGACAATGCACTGTTACTGGTCTTTAACTGGTATTTTTTACTGTAGAACTATTGGTGTTATTCATCATTTATAATCATCAATTTGTTTGCAAAGTTCAATTGACTTTTAAGAGGAACGTAATGATTGATCTGTAAATTTATTCTATAGGCTTTCAAAAGCGAAAGTCCGGTCAACGGTTATGAAAGTGGTTTAGCTTGTGCTTCAATGGGTGCGCATTTACCGATCATATGCAACGACGACATAAACACTTTCGTTTCAAGTTTGTACCCATGTTACAATTTCCTTCTAAAATCTGTTGAACCAACTTTTTTAAAATTTTTTCAAGATTTCTTTCTGAAGGACATAACTTTAGTTGGAAATTTTAAAAGAAAATTTTGAAATATTTTAGCTTTTCACAATAGGATTAATTAAAGCTTCAGCAACATTAAAAACTTACAGAACTTTGGGTTTTTTATTGCTTTACAACAATTCATTTTATATTCTTGAAATTTTTCACAAAAGTTTTGTAAACGTCGCAGCATTTCCACAGTTATCTGATATTATTACAGACATGTTATATTCTGTTGGCGTCAATGATGTTTTTATTGACAACTCAGTGTTAACAGAACTTGGCGGCACCTCCAGCTATGGCCATTCCGACCTGACATTTTGTCCTTATGAAAACTGGAAATACGGCCATCCAGTAATTTCTACAGAAGATCGAAAACCGTGTACAGTAATGAGAAGAGGAAAAAATGGTACTGCATTATGGTCAAGTTTTAAGTGTACTTACAAGGTTCAGGGATATGTCTGTGAAAGACCATGCTTTGAAGAAAACCAACTTCTTGAAACTTAACTGGGCATCTACAAAACTTATCAACTCTGCTGCTTAAAGATTTTGCCCAAATTACTGTTTTTAATGTGCATAACAACTTTAGAGCTCTCCAGTTTTTTTATTTAATCAGTAGTATTTCTGCCTCAGAAAATTATAAACGGTGGCTAACACTGCATTTGTAATGAAGAGTACTGATAAGCATAAAAAGCTAAGTTTAGGTAGCTTTGCTGCTATTCACTTTATTTGTTATATGAATAATCCAATAACTTGGTAAACAGATATACAGTGTATTTAAAGATAAACAAAGTTGTTTCTTTGGAAACCGTTTTCTAAAAAGAAATCACATTTGTGCCGAGTTTACAATTCAGAAAAATAAGTGGTAGGAAAATTGTAGACTTCTTATTTTCTAACGTGTTCTTCGTGTTTTTATTTCAACCTTTCTTTTTTTTTCTGCAGATATAAACTCGCAAATTAGAAGATTTTTATCTTCTTTACTTATCAGTCTTACAAGTTATCATAGAACTTTGTCAAATCACGTCAAAACAATAGAATAACAATGCTACAAACGAAAAAAAAAAAGGTTGTTGTAGAAGAAGACAAATGACGAAGATGAAGGAAAAAAGTTAACCGAAAAGTTTTGAAATTTCTCTGAACTGAAAGAAAGAAAAAGTAACCGCGTCTATCGAAGTGTTTTCGTCCGTGTTTTGCAGTTATGTTCGTCAGTATGTGTGTTTATGTGTGTGTATTTTGTATATTAATCTTCTGTAAAAGTTACAGTAAGAATTTGTTGGTGTCGGCTTTACAGTTAAACTAGTATATAAGAAAGGTATAACAAGTATTAGCAATACTGAAAAATATTTAGATGTTAATCCGTAATATGAAAAAAAAGTAGCCAACTGAGAGATAATGTTCTGAGAGAGACAAAGAAGAGGAGGTGAAAAAACAATGGACAAACAATTCAAGAAAATCGTTCTTCTCGTTGTTTCTTGTTGTCTTTCCCTTCTTTTTCTTTCCCCTTTATTTCTGAAGAAAAAAATGTCGCAAATTGGAAAATTCACCGAGGCAAAAAAGAAACATTTTTTGCTTAAAACAATCAGAAGCAGTTCTTCATCTGTTGTTCGTACCGCAAACAATGTCTAAGCGCACGGTTTAAATTTTTAAACCCATTTATTCAATTTGTAAAATAAAAAAAAATTGCAAAAAAAAATTTATAATTAAGTTTATATCTGAAGGTGGCAAATAATTTAAATAAATATATATCAGTTCTGTCCTCAAATGATGAGATCGGATTGTTCAGGAGGAAAAACAACCAGGAAAGGATACAGAAAGTTGCGAGAAAAAATAAGCAAAGAATTTCAATTAATAAACAGTATTGTTGTATTAGGTTTTAGACGAAAAACACAGAAAAATATCAGTGACAGTTTTCAACAAAACCTTTACAGTACTTCTGAAGTTGAACAGTTCAAGACAAAAGAAAAAGAAAGCATTTTTCATATGTATTGCATGACCACCTGAACAAGAATTAAAGTTATTGGTTACAGTGGCTGGTGACAACAATGACTGTAGTAAAAATAAAATAAAAAGACACCGGACTAAAATAGATAATCTTTTTTTCTGCTCGATAAAAAAACAAAAAATTCTTCATTCTGTACTTTACCTGAAAAAGCAAAAAAACAGTTGCAAATATGATGACGGTTGTTCTTCTCCAAAGCTGGAAAAAAAAGAACACGAAAAAAGCAAATCAAACAAAAGCAAATAAAAAATTTAGTTTGACCAACACCGTAGTTGCAAATAGTAAAAAGATGCATTCTTCAATCTATTCCCTTTTTTTTTTTACTAAGGCAAGCTGTTTTTTTCTGATACATCATCAGCTGTTTCACACACAATACAGACATCATTGCCATATTTGAGTGGAAAAATAGACGATGAATGGTCATGTAGAAGTTGAACAGGAACGAGAACAAGAACAAGAAGATGATGACGATGTTACTTATCGTGATAATGACAAAAAGTAAAGTGGATTAGATAGATTTGAGGAAAAAA